GGGTGACACGCCGCAGCCGCCGACACGGGCACCCCGGGGCGCTCCACGTGCCCCCGCTTCTTGCATCTCTGCTCCTTCTCCGGATAAGCTCCTGCTCCTTGGTACCCGCTGCCTTCCGCGTCGCTCTGCAGAGATACCACCGCTGCCTTTTTTGTTCTTCCCAGGGGAGCTGAGCCCTACGACAAGCCAAATGCAGTGTACGTCGAGCGGCACGAGCCTTCTGGGGCTTCGACTGTCATTCGCAGCACCGATTTCTTTCAGACACGAGAAAATAAAGACATAATCCTGGAAGATGTTGAAGACTTCCAGCTCAGGGAGAGATACCTGTTCGCAACAAAGTCCGTGGTACCGTCACAGATGGGCTACGTCCAAGTAGCCCGACGTGCTCCAGCCCGGTAACGGCGCTGGATTTGTAGCTCGCCTTCCTAAGAGAAGAGAAGGCGTCTTTTGGTCCCTCCGCTGCCAAGACCCCCCTGTCCTTTCTGAAGCTGCCGGGCTGCTTCAGACAAACCTGAAAGCAAGCTAGAAAGCGTCTGCGCTTTCTCTGAGGACAAGTCCTTTCTCGATGATCAGAGACACGACACCAGACAGGTAGAGCCCTGTTCCTTCTAGAAGTTAAGGAGCAGCTTTCTTTTTATCAAACACGAGCATGGCTTTCCTCCCCTGCTGCCGCCGTCGAGTCTGTTTTAACGAGCGACCTTTGTCGTTTAGGGGTGACTCCTTGCAAAGCCCTGCCTTGTTTCCTAGGCAGTAGGCAGGGAGCGTGTCGCCTCCGGCCGTCCGCTGGCAGGGGCCCTGTTTGCAGAGCACTTTCTGTTTCTCAGCGGTCCCTTGCAGTTAGTACAGCCCGCAGCCCTTGGGGCCCGTCCCCTTGGCGCTACGCCTGCTCTGAAGCCCGCGGTGGTTTGCAGAGGATTTCCTCTAGGCTTGCTGCTGGTGTTCGGTGAAACGCAGGGGCTGGTCGGCGTCTCTGCCGAGAAGCTGCCGGGCTAGGTGGGCAGCGCCCTGAAAGCATGGGGCTGCTTTGAGTCGGGACCTTTCAAAGCACGAACTCGATTTGGAGGTTCTTCGGCGTTGGTTCTGCTGCTGGAGGGCTTAGGGGTCTCCGGAGCCGCCGTCACCCTTTCTCCCGCAGCTCTAATGGCCGATGTTACACTGAACGATGTTAGGATCGTTCAGGTTCCCTGCTGAGGCACAGACCGCTGGGAAACACGGAGGCTCAGAGGGAGGCCAGCCTGGCTGCAGACCCGTGATTTGGATACGATACCCCCGGGTCGGGGATACGGCGCTCGCATCAAACCCCGGCCGCGGCAGAAGTGGACAGGCTGGGGGGCAGAGGCAG